TGGCAGGTTTAAGATGAACTTAGTCAGGGTATTTGTACAATTTCCAATTTCCAATAACATGTAACGTGAAAAATAAAACATTTCGTTGAGTTTCCAGATGTTAATAGTATAATAAGCTTCTCGGCAGTGTTTACAATAATATTTGTTGGTTCCAAGCCCAAATTGTTAAACGTTGCAAAGGATTGATTTTAGGCTTGTTGTGGATCTATACATCATTGGATGTATTACAAAAAACAAATGCTGACTGCGTTGCTCCTCTGTATTTCAGAATGACATGTTCCCAAGATAGGAGTCTCACTTCACCATCCTACTTATCTGAGATTCCCACCCAATACCCAGACAGCGGACGCCTGCAGCTTAGCAGCTGATGCAAAGTACAAATAAAGGCTGATGTCCAGAATGAGCAAAGTCGCTTAGTTCAGATGAATCCATCTCTCAACAGAAGAATTGTTTAAGTCTGATTAAGCTTCCTTGGGAGCTTGGTTCACTCCTAAATCGTATTATTGAAACTTAATTAGTGCATGTGATCAAAGTTTGTGTTAAATCAAGCTCACTAATGGGATTTCTGGCGATGGCATTAGGTCTGGAGTAGGCCATGTCATCTATTTTGGATAACTATGGCAACTTCATATCCTAGTAATCCTACAAAGGATAATGTCACAAGTGGTGATTTAAAGTGTAATGTAGCTCAATTAGTTTCCAATGGCCATTTTTTTCCCCACGTGGAATTGCTTTTTAAGCATTCTTATCCGTTTGTAATGAGTCAAGAGTTCTTTATGTAATATGAACGACAGAGGAGTTACGGGCTATATGGTGGAAACTTTTTTATTATATGCGCGAAGGTTCTCAAGGTGTCCACAAGAACATGGTTGACATTCAGACTTACAGCTTGCAATCCCCGGGGATCACAATTAACTATTTCGTCTCAAGTCTATGAAGTAACTTTGAAAGATACCATCGTCATTCTCCATCGCAGTTCCTCAAGTCATAGAAAAAAGTATTGTTGCCCGTGAAATAAAGCTCAACACGACCATTGATTGTCAAATGGTCTCAGGGAGGAATTGATCCTGTACTTTTCAAGTTCAATTTAAGGAAGTTAAAGGAAACAATAGTTGATCCGTGTAGCATTAACAGTTTTGGATGTAGACACTGCTCCTCACTGGTTATTTAACAGTAATTTGTAGGTCGGCTGAAGCCAGTGACCCTACGGCCAAGGCAGTGATGGTAAGTCGGAGTCTCATGGTGACATGAAAAACAAGCTGAGTAGGAAACAGTTCATCATGGCGATATTGACTTTCTGACACTTGTGGAGAAAACAAGCTACGTCATTTGACATGAGACGCCTAACTACAGTTAATACAGATGTCATGTGTTTGTCGGAACCGTTGTATCTTTCATAGCTGGGTAAACCTGCTGTAACGGCTAACAGGTATCGGTAGTAGCTGTCATAGGTTTGATGATGCGAGTGACATGTAGCTATGGTAGGTGTCATGGGCTTGATACCTCTCTGATATGAATAACATGTAGCTGTGGCAAGTGTGATGGGTTTGCTAATAAGACTGACCTGTAGCTATGGCAGGTGTCACGGACTTGATGATACTTACCTGATACCTCTCTGATATGAATAACGTGTAGCTGTGGCAAGTGTGATGGGTTTGCTAATAAGACTGACCTGTAGCTTTGGCAGGTGTCATGGACTTGATGATACCTACCTGATACCTCTCTGATATGAATAACATGTAGGTGTGGCAAGTGAGATGGGTTTGCTAATTAGACTGACCTGTAGCTATGGCAGGTGTCATGGACTTGATGATACTTACCTGATACCTCTCTGATATGAATAACATGTAGCTGTGGCAAGTGTGATGGGTTTGCTAATAACTGACCTGTAGCTATGGCAGGTGTTATAGGCTTGATGATACTTACCTGATACCTCTCTGATATGAATAACATGTAGCTCTGATATGCTAATAAGACACCTGTAGCTGGGCTTGATGATACTTACCTGATACCTCTCTGATATGAATAACATGTAGCTGTGGCAAATGAGATGGGTTTGCTAATAAGACTGACCTGTAGCTATGGCAGGTGTCATGGGCTTGATGATACTTACCTGATACCTCTCTGATATGAATAACATGTAGCTGTGGCAAATGAGATGGGTTTGCTAATAAGACTGACCTGTAGCTATGGCAGGTGTTATGGGCTTGATGATACTTACCTGATACCTCTCTGATATGAATAACGTGTAGCTGTGGCAAGTGTGATGGGTTTGCTCATAACTGACAGGTAGCTATGGCAGGTGTCATGGACTTGATGATACGACTTGATGATTTACCATAATTAAGTTTGCTGAGACGACTAATACGTAGCTATTGTAGGTGTCATCGGAATGCCCATGACACCCGCCATAGTTAAAGGTAACTAACATGTTACTAAACCGGGTCTTTGGGCATAAATCAGATTCAACAATTTCAAGAGTGTTCATTTGTGATAAGTATCCCTTAATATTAAAAGTTTAACGTGAATCGTACAATGCAATTATCAAAAGAAATAAGTTGATTCTGATGTTTCCCAACGATCCCTATAATCAAGCCGACACAGTGCAAGGTCTAAACCTCATCATGGGAAGATCAAGGCCATCTGAGCATGTCCACACATTTAACGGCTTCAATAAAACAGACATTACTCGCCTGTAAACCCCAGATACCAGACAATGTAATAACATTCCCACAAACATAAGACATCCGTGTACACAAGCAGAGATTTCTATTGCTATAGCTTTCAATTTTCAATGAGCAAGATCATGCGCCTCCGTGTAAAGGCAACCTTATCAAAACCTTGTTTCGAAACGGCAAGAGGTGTAACATCGGCTTTTAGCACCTCCTCAGACGGTTGAGGCTGCTTGACACAACCTACAAATTTGTACTGTGATTGCCGAGACGTCTTTATAGATGGCTCCGTGGCGTCCTGATTTGTAAATCCATCCCTTGGTTTCAGACATGAAAGGATGAGATTGAAGGGTCAACAGAAAAGTTTTAGTGGAAATTGGAAGGGTGTTGTGGTGGTGTTAAGGATCTGACGACAGCACCTGTGAATCTGGGTTGACGAATGCCAGAGGCTTTGTGCTGAAGCTTGTGTGTTGCATGCGCCCTTAATTGTCCTTTTCCCAGTCTAACTCACCCCTTAAGCTGTTTTAGGAGTAACTTCGCGATTAATATGTGAATGATTTACTTTCATTCAGAATGCATATCATGATATCATCCTATCTATTTGATCAAGCACACGGTAATGCTATGTATTTACGTCATATATGTTCCTGTATGTTTTGATGAGTGGATTACCGTTTACTGTAATAAGTACAGAAGTATGCTGTAAAACATGTAAATTGTAACAGTTTGCGTGTTAATACTGTATAGAATAAGGTACATACGTGTATATTTCGTAAATATATAGTAGTATAATATGATGATTGCATGAATAAATCTTACAGTTGTATAATTTAATATTAACAAAACAGTCTTAAGCCCATGACATGTAACCGATATTGCATTGTAATTAACAACTGTATGTTGTAATTAATATATTTGATAGGGCACGAAATGCAACAAACAATATTGCACATTGACGTTAAAATCGGTTTAAAAAGTTGAATCTGTTTTTTAATTCCAAAGTGTAAAGTGCAATTACTTAGATGATTGGCCATGTTTTCATGTTGTGTATTGGTACAGCTAACTCAGAGGACACTATTGTGGCGAAAAATTCACCCAACATGTGTCAATAGCCTCTTCGTCATTATCTATGGATGCGGAGCACCTCGTACACACCTGTTGCCTGGTCATTAACCTCAATAATTGGCAATGAATTCAATGAACCGTGTAATAGGAATATCATTGGGTATTGTTTAAGCATTGAAGAGCAGCTCAAACCAGACTTTCGCTTCGATGCTTTCAATGACAGTTACTCAAGCAGTTCACATACTATGTAGTTGAGATGATAAATAAAGTCTCGGTGATAATACTGAATATGATGGGTCAGGAAACACATTATAATACCAAATATCATATCGATGAGAAGCAATCTAGCTGTATACACACATTCCGTTTACTCTCGCGAGACTCACTGCAAAAAATAGGTGTCAATAAACCTTCAACAGACGGAAGTATTTCCTTGATTTTGACGGCCGTAGAATTGTTTAAGGGTCAAGTGTGTAATAGTCTCAACTATCCCTCATTGGCAGGACTTCCTAACCCGTTTAGGTGTCTCCCGTTATATATCCAAGTTATTGTCAGTAAATACCATATGAATTCACCTCAGTGTCTCCACGTACATAGATGTTCTGAGATCAATGAGTGAGTGAGTGAGTGAGTGAGTATGCTTTTACGCCGCTTTTAGCAATATTCCAGCAATATCACAGCGGGGAACCAGAAATGGGTTTCACACATTGTACCCATGTGGGGAATCGAACCCGGGTCTTCAGCGTGACTAGCGGGCGCTGTAACCATTAGGTTAACCTACTGCCCCTTCTGAGATCAAGCAATAGTGTCGTTGGACTCCTTAGACGCTTTCTGTGTGCGCGCACGTGCATGTGTGTATGTGCGCTATGTTTATAGATTCGAGCCCCCTGGGATATCAGAGGATAGCAGGAGGGGCGGGGAGTGATGTTGGTACCGACCACAGTAACGACTGAAATCAGTGACTTGGACAGTTGCGATTCATAAAATCCCAATTCCTTGGCTCTTTCATGTTGTTGTTTCCACGGGAATAAAAGATGTTTTTAAGGTCACAAGCCATTGGTATCGCATTAGCAGCTCCATTACGGGACCAGTGTTGTGTTCGCAGAGGTGAACCTCGACCGATGACGCCTACATGTTGTCCCATGATCACAGAGTGATCACAGATCCGGCGCCGTTTCACAGAACGATCAGGCACCTGCGACAGTACCATATTGTATTACAATAATGTCAGGACATCTGACGGACAAATGTAGATCATCTTACCTCTTTTAGAAGCTCTGAACCCATCGTCGAGTGGTAGGCGCGTTATATTGAGTAATAGTTTCGTCCCTTTTGGCAGTAGGTTGTCTTCATGATTAACCCTATACACAGCATACAGGAAGGCGTTCTCCACTGATATATCCTCGTCTCCGACACCAAACAAACCTCCTGAAACAAACAATACTTCCATTCAGTATGTAGCATTGAAATAGTTGAAAACAGGTCAAAAGTCATGCTGAAATGAGTGACAGAGTTTAGTTCTACGCCGCTTTGAAAACTACTTAATTATATCTCAGTTTGAGTGTTCAGTAGGACTGAATAGACCGTAGAGTTCATAACAATGACGAAACGCAAGGGTGGTGTGATGAGAAATTATTGATTATGATTGGGACGAATTTTACCCAAGTGAGTTTGTTCAAAATTGTCTCTGTTCACCAAGCAGAAATGGGTACCCGGTGGCATAAGTCATGTGGCCATAACCTTCTAGCGCCTTACAGGCAGCTTAGGTTATCCGGGGTTATGATTGTCTGCGCAATGAGCATGCTGTCGGTGTGGAGTTAGCGCAATATAAATGGACTAAATATTATTACTATGATAATACTAGCATTATCCTGACATGGAACCTGCATAGCGACGCCTTTGACGATTGGGTCACCATATTTCCCGCCTGCAGACAAACAGTACGTGTGCAAGTACAAGTGCCGCAAGGATTGGTCCATTAAAACGTACTAACGATGTTCTGTTGTTGTTTTTTTATTAACTTTATTATTTTCCTTATTTTACGAACTACTTATTGAGCACCGAGCTGCAATAAGAGATACATACAAAGGAAACACAAAATTATTAAAACTCTCAGGCTGTTTATTTACGCTCCACATGTTCTTGTTTAAAACCATACTGGTTTGTTTGCCATTCCACGGTGTTACCCATCCTTTGTTTCCATTAACTCTCGCATACAAACACAACTTAAATAAAGCCAATTTTATCCAGAACAAATGAAAACAGTTGTCGTGCAAACAGCATCAGATGTGAATACTGAGTTGAATTAAATTACACTATGGCAACGTTGGCCTTGTTCAGAGCATTACTAATGGTAATACAATCCTGAGGGGATGGTCAGTCACTTAAGGTTAAATTTACAATGCTGTTTCAGTCAAGGTCATGCAGGGACCGAGAATGGGATTCACACATTGAATCCAGTCTGTCTCCCATACTCCATGGAATAAAAAGCCGAAAGTATGTCTATAATCACTGGGCAAGTCTGGATTGCCTCAGTTCCTGAAACTAAGAAAATTTCTGGGCTCCTTTTGCATTTTCTTGTGGACATACATGTATGTGTCAAAATACATGTGTTTTTATTTTATTCCATGGACTAAATGTTGGTCGAGTGCACTTGATTTTTCAACAATGACATAGAACGTAAGTGCTTTAACTCCCCATTATCGGCAGGCGTTAGATAATACAGCCATATGTCAATCTACGTCGTTGGCGCATTATATTACTGAAATACATCCCGGTAATTATAGAAGAACAGGCACGCTGCCCACTCCAGCGATGTGCCTATTCCATGTGTAAGAATCAAAGCTTACGTATTTACACTAAGAGTGAGTATCGTTTCAAGCAGTATTCCACCAAGATCCCTGCTTGGGACACCAGGTGTAGGTTTCATACATGTTGGGAATCGAACCCGTCCTTTAGCGTTGGAAATAAACGCTTTAACCGCTAGGCTACCTCACCTTTCCTGTTTGCACGTGGAGTCTGGCATCAGAAGAATTAGAGAATCGACATGGGGATACCTTTGTTCGTCATCTTGAACATAATTCCTTATGACGCCAACAAACGCAATTCGAAGTCCAACCTAATCCCAACCGACCGCCACAGACGCTTGAGCTCTGATCAGTAACACTTGTATAAAGACGTCATTGAAGGAAGGCACGCATCCCTACGAATAAAACTCAAACCGACATCACCAGAGGCATGACAGCTTCGAGAAATCAGGAATCTTATAAAAACACTCAAAGGTTCCAAACATCAGGATGAAATAAAGAAGTACCGTGCCAAAATCTAGTTCTCTCCTGTTCGTAATCTAAAACAAAATTTGTCTTTACAGACGAAACCTGCCTTTGACGCGAAGTAAGAATGTTCTTTCCTCAAACGCTGGTTCTTCCTGTAGACACTAAGCTAATTCATGTAAGGTTAGCTCGATAAAAAACGTTGAAGTCAGTTTGAATTAGACAACACATTCGACAAAAGATAGACGAAATAAAAACATAAATTGTGCTTGCGATTGAAGGTCATCCTGATCAATACACGAAGGATTTGTTGCTCTTTTCCATGTCATCATATTTTGCAAAAAAATATGTAATCCTTCTTAGTGCAAACAATTGATAATGATTTTGGCTGGTATACATCAAGTGAAATAATTGATGCACTGATATGTGAAATGCAAGCGAGTAATATTTAGATTGACGCGATCAATAGCATAATCCTTGAAACGGTCCGACTTGTCCGTAATTACGACAATAATTTGCAATCGTACTGACACTTTAGACGTTCTGAACAATTTGACGTGTGTATATGGGTTGCGTTGCCCACGAACCAACGTCATTGTTTTTCTTCTTTAAGGACGCATTACTCAAATGACACACAGTACCCGTATTCCTGTTTTATAGTGTGTCAATAACAAGAAAATGATTGCAAAGCAAGAATTGTTCGATAGTCCCATGTATTATATCAATAAGCTCTCAATTCACAAAACATCACGTAATTGTGGCACAAAAGCTCGATGATTTGCGTTATCCAAACTGCAATTCCATAGCTGCAGGAATCGACTGTAAGATATCTGCGATCCTATTGTTTGAGGATTACTCGCGTGAGGTTTCAAATACACAACGCACTATACTCTAGGGAGGTTTGTGTATATCAACAGCGACGCAATAAGACGGCTTTCACGCTACATAGCCTCAACCAGACTGTTGCACATTCGGAGTCTACACACCACCTCCAAGCAAGAACAGTCAAACACGATTGACAATTGACAGGATTTACGGTTCAAAAATAACCTTGGTGCTTCAGCTTGAAATACGTTTCCATGGAGATGCAATGTTAATCAAATTTAAACTCCTCTATTTTAGCATCCTGGGGTATCAAAGTAACAAATCGTCAGCGATATAAAAACACACTCGGAACGCTTGGATTTTCTTCGGTTTAAGAATCACAACAGACTGCGGCAGATGGTTTAACAGCATCGCCGTCACCCAATAACAGGGTTATATGAATCTAATATTCCCTAACTAATTGTATTAACACTACTTAAAGATAAAAAGAATTTACACGGTGCAAGCAACCGAGGTGTAGTCTTCAGGAAAACTAGACTTGAGTATCAAGTCTGGATTACCTAATGATCTTTAATTTGTGTGCGGTTTCAATGGAACGTCACATGTCAGACTGCAATGCTCCATGGACCGGGTCCAAGCAACCAGAACCATGGAACTAGAATAACCTGGCACCTGTTAGTTACCGTGGCAAGACTATTATAACAGATATTTCATACGCCATTTATTATCTTGCATTTAGCAATAATTGGCACTCTTGCATCTTGTTATCACACAGACATTTATCAAGGAATGAACCTGGAAATCATGTAATTGGATCTGCATCAGCCTCATATATTACAATGAGATTATTTGGAGTAATATTCTTGACACCTCTTAGGTATTTAGGTATATTTGAGAGTATAAGTTTAAAAAACAACAAATGTTTTATGCAATAAGTTATTGTTTTTGCGCTTTTATTTGACATCAGTCTAGTTTAAACGACTATAAACGTAATATGAATAAGGATGATATGTTCTTTGGAAACAGTTCATGCGTTATGCATGTTATGTATAACAGCATGATACATTCACTCCGAAGTCTGACAGTCTGGAACCTGAAATCTCAAGTACACGTCTGTCTTACATGTGGGCATTCTATCAGTTCTTTTATAGCAATAGCTAAATTATATCGACTAAACACACATTCTTGAATATTATAATCTTCACAATGGTATTCATATATTACTCAAGTTGAACGACTGTTTGAATAAGTTTCCTGAATCAGCTTGGTTCTAATGGGCATACCTTCTCCAATAATGAGCATTAGACTAAACGTTTCCTCAAAATGGGAATATGCCAACCAAATTAATCTGATTTAATATGACTTGCAGCTATTTATGTATCTCATACACTCTTTACTCCTAATTAATTGTGCTTTTTGTGACTGTTTTGCCCTTTTACGTCTTGGTATCAGTGTAGAGTGTACAGGAGGTTGGGGATAGAAACATATATTTTATGATGTGTATACATTGTGAACTAGTTGTGCTTCATTGTAAAATGTCACCTGAATTGTATTCCGAATTTCTTATCAACTTATTAGTTCTGTATAGATAATGCCATGAATTTTTATATTCGTTCGAATTATTTCAAAATTTGATCAAATATTTTTGGACATAAGCAATCCAGTCTTTGATGTGGATAAATATGTGCCTGGTATGGAAGACGTTTAGGTCGAGAGACGAAGACATTCCGGCACATTCATACAAGCCATGGCTTTCGTTATATGATCCTAAAAAAGATACGATAAATTGACATACTAGACAAAAACAGGATTGAACGTTGTTAAGAAGTGGGAGCAAAATGCTCCGTACTCTGTTTTATACCATAACTGAAAAACATCATTCTACTATGCTTACAATGCACAGTGTAAGAAAGCTTCACTTGTGCATGTCTTACGTTGAGATTGTTTTCATGTGACAGCAGAACGAACAATGTTTGGGCGATATATCACTTGGAAAAATAGTTTTTGACATTTTACGCATTTCGTTTGTATCACATGCAAGAGAAACGGTTTTGAGAACGGGAGAAAATGTATGTGATCATGCCACAGAGTGATCCATGTTTTAACTGGAAATACGTGCTCGTGCTTACGGTGATGACCGGACTGCAAGAAGAAATGAATTCATAAATCTTTGGCTTCAGATCAAATGTGCCAAGGCTAGATCCTATTTGGAAAACACCTGTACACCTATTACACTAATAATTTCCGAATCAATAAATAAAATTTCATTGAAATGTGTATGTGTCGAAGATCCGATTTGATGTTTATACGCTGAACAAAATATGACTTTTG